GTTGAAAAAATAAAAACAACATATTTATCATACCCTTCTGTATCAATCACGATGTAATATCAAATTATTTGAACAAACCAAAAAAAATACTCAAAGTTGTCCACATTAATATTTCAATAGAATATTTTCAATAATGAAACTGGATTTATTTGACAAATGTCATTTATTGTTGTGTGTGTGTTGATGCATAACTATGAGTACAAACTGCAGTGATATAAACCATAGTATACAACAACCAAAACAGCTAAGGAATTATATAAACACTGTAGTGTTCATTGACGCACCTCGAAATTTCTTGGGCGGGTTTGACAGATCACCAGCATCGGGTTGGACAACGCAACGGTCATCAACGAGACTGAAACGATAAACATTAGGAAATGTTCACGATTGAAATGGCAAATGTTATGGGGGGGGTCAATACACACAAATTAAAAGCTAACATGAAAATAAATAAACGCCTTATTTACCCAAGAGTGCTGATAAATCCGTTGACGCTTCCCTCCGCATACAGAGACACGATATCTCCGATGTGAAGAAAACTCGATGACATATCAGACATGTTGGAAAATAATAGTAATATCCACACCGCTCAAATGAAAACAATCAACAAACTCTGACCATGTCGACGATCGAATACGGAGACAGGAAAGCTGGGTGCTTCTGTTGTCGTCGTACAGCAGTCAGTAGTTGACGTCTCGAAGATCGATGCACACAGAAGGGCAGCGAAAAACAAACACAGTGATTTTTTAAAAAGACTACAAATGCAAAGACTAGTATATTCGGCAGAGAGTTTCAGTTTTTTTTATCATTTGAGGCGAATCACACAGTAACGTATACTACTTCCGCTCTCAAGATTTCTGAATCCATAAGATTATCTGGGCAGGTGGGAGACGGACGACACCTCTCATATATCCATACACCGGACGCGTACTAATATTCTTAGTGGACTTAAAACGGTAACGCTGATTGGATAAAATATACGGCATGGTTGACAATGCCCAATAACTGCAGTCGATACAAAGACCCGCCGATGAATATAGTGTCACTTCCCCCATCGCCCAAATGCGCCGTTAAAGCATGTACATTTGCAACAAGAAGCAAAAGTTCTTCTTCCCTTTAAAATGTAGTGTTAGAAGTACTAATATTTTCAATTTACAATGATTTTATTCTTTCACTACACCCTCAACGAAGGATTTTTCATTGTTGATCGATGATGGCGCTATTCGTTATGCTGCCCATTTGTTCATTCCTGGACCAACAACGAAATATTTTTCTATATCGATGAATGAAGGCACTGTTGATAATTAAAAAAACTAGCTGTTAAAAATGGAAATAATAGCATTTTCTTTATTTTTACGTGCACGACATTTATTCAATACAGAGTTATAAATAAATAACATATAAATATAAAATTGAATTGAATTGAATTACAACTAACTCACTCAAGGGAACAGTAAACACACACAGAAATATCATTGACAACTTTAGATTCAGACATGTCATTCACTTAACAGTAAAAAGTCTGACTATACTACTAATAAAACTGTTGGTTACATCTACACTATTGTACTGGATCTGTAACAAATGCCCGGATGAGGTAAAAGTATGCCATAGAAAACTGTAAAATCAATAAAGCCATGGTCGAACGATTGTCGGCGTATTTTGAAGATTTTACTTTTCCAATTTAAAAAAAATATATAATTAAACCAATATGAAGTCTCTCTGTGTGGTCCGACTCTTATGACGTAAATATCGTAAAAGGATGTTTCTGTATTGGTTGTATGCGATTGGTCTGGTTATCAAAAATGGAGTTGAAAATTAAAGTGTTGCATTACAATACTGGACGTACAAGGTTTATACAAAATAGTTGAAGAGAACAATGTTATTGATCAGCATAAAATTGTGTTTAATAAGTACAACCCATCTTCACAAACCACGCCCTCTTTCGACAACTGATGGTTATTTTTTTTTAGTGGGGCGGAAAAAATACTCTGGCGGGCGAGAATGGTCCAACCGTGAGACTGGCCTCCTTCAGTATATTCGATGAGGTGGATAAAGAATAGTTTACAATCACATCCAAATATTGACAGTTTGATACCTGATAAATCCCACAATTCTTCTGCAATAGATTTCTTGTTCAAAGTAAAAATGCGTGTTTCTATGTTTTACCCCATTATGAATTATTTTGTTGGAGAAAACTGAAAAAAAAATGAAATCTATGTTTATTAAAAACAGTATTCATTAGAATTTTCTAGTGACATAGTGACAAGTATTTTTCCACTTCTATTTTCCCCAAGGAAACAGTGGCAAATGGCTAAAAAAAACACCATTGCCAAGGATATTTGGGCCATATGTTCGATGCGAGTTTTCTAAACAACCGTATACAATAAGAAAATATTGTAAAATTCAAGGCAATCTGATGATCCGTTCTAATTAATGTCAGTTCGAACCGATTAATATTTGGCACTTCGGGTATGTTACCGCACATATGTGCAAAGTATTATGGGAGATAACTTCCCGTTGTAAACTCTGTCGTGATTTATTGAGTGCCAATAACATAAGTAGCAACATTGGCAGCGAAATGGAAACTGGTGGATTACATTTGTTATCGATGTTACAATTCAGAACAATCAACTATTATCAAAACCTGTTTTAAAATCGTACAATAACTCTAATGCTCTAATGGAACTAAGAAAAAAAAATAGTTACAAAAACATTATATAAATATTATGAAAAACAACTAACATTATTGAATTTGACAATATTTAAAAATAAACATGAAATAATACAATTTAATATGTAAAAAAAATATGTAAAACAACAGAAGACGAAATGCATTTCATAATACACTGTCTAATATATTCAAATGAAAGACAGGGAATTTATGAACAATTCAACAGAAAGTACAATCATTTCTCAACACAGAACGACATTCACAATGATTTTAAACACGACAAATCTATCTCTAGTGTAAACAATGCGGGTTTCGTCTATCAGGGGTTGTTATGGGTGGATAGTTCGTCAGGTTGAATACACGGGAAGTGGTTGTAACGGGGAATGGGTAACTCGCAAGGCAGTGAGTGGTACACTAGGATCGCTCGACACTTATACGCATCATTCAGTCATAAGGACACCAGTAATATAGTATAGCCGGATATTTATTACAACTACAATCGTCACCATACGCCCCCGGTCCTCTTCTCACTTAATACGCTAGAACCCCCCATTTTTATAAACGACAGTGTTAATCGTTCAACCAATAGTCGAAATACTTTGCATGCGTTGTCATGACGGCATGTGGACTCCGCCAGTGAGGGCATCGCCCCATAGCATCGTCATGACAACATCAATGCAACTTGGTGACACTAGTCAAAGATGTTACCAGATACATGAACAATGTTTTAACTAAAAGACAAACACTAACTTAACTACTCAGTTAGTCATACCATATCAATTTTCTTTTTAAAAATATTATTATTATTACTATTAATGTGAAATGAAGGAATTCGCTCGATTATGCAAGGGAATATTCGGAAATAAACTCTTCTAGTGTCAGGGTACCAATACATCTTGAGGCGGGAATTACATCCAGAATCTTTAAAACACATTATGAACATTATCGCTCCACACCAGCCAACCATCACAAAATCCACAAGTCGCCCTGTTTTAACCACTTTTACCGATGTAAATTCTCACCTATAAGTGCATCGTGTCACACTGCATAATTACAGTTAATTTATCTAATTCAGTGGATATGTAGGTGTTATTTTTCCCACGCTCAAGGTTTAAGTATACAATGTGATGTGAACGCTGCCCGCATGGAGCAAACATAACATCGGTATTTTTCATGTGGTTCGTCTCAGAACTATAAACCAATAAGGTTTGAATCGTTTGAAACATGAATCACAGTTTGACTATATATGTACGCCATGTCTTGTTGTCGTTTCTGCGTCCTCGTGTCGTCTTCTACGGTGATCTAATGGAAGTTTCGCCATCAGCGCCATCCTTAACCGTTGATCGCTAAACCAACCAAGTACATAAAATTATCCATTGTATAATAATCTTACGACTGTGCTTCGAACAATAACGATAAGATATATAGACTTAATTGGAGAATGCATACTACCCCTAAACCATAAATAACAAATGTTTCAGTTTACATAATTATTCATACAAGCCTCCACTAAACTAAATTCATGTACTAAAAAAACAATTAAATTATGGATAAAAACGTTTCGACTAAATGCAGGTAAAAACTGTTGTTGTTGTTGTTGTTGTTGTTGTAATAATTAGGGTGAAATTATAAATATTGAGACAGACACAGCTAATTTGTGCTGTATTTTCTGACTTTGTATTCGACATGCTAATTGCAAGTCACGGGTAAGTGCAAGAGATACATTAAATACAACTCATTTGCATACAAACTATGTTATAGTACAAAGATAAGATGAAATTCAATATCAATGTCATTCTCATGCATATACCATATTTTCCATGCAGTAAACATACGATGAATAAAAACTAACAATGGCTACATGTAAACGCCATTACTGACATGACTTAGAAGACAATAGAACAATTCCCAGAGGTTACCAAAAAACATTACCAAAATGAATGGAACACTGACATGCAACGAGATGATTAAAAATGAGAATATTTAATTTATTTAAACACATCATTTATTTAGAAACCTGTCTAAAACAGTTGAATGACAGAAAAAAACAGTATGAACATTAAGCAAATTTAGACTCAACTACTATAAATTAAACATTGAAACACAAATGAACTAAAATTCATTAATACATGCGTTTACTTCCTCGTCTGATAAAAGGAATTTATACTCATAATGAGCAGAAACGACAAAAACGACATTCATGCTCGTTTATAATGGCAACAAATGCATTTTCACCAGTCTACCATTATTAGCAAAACATGTCTAGGTGAAGTGACGTCATTAAGTGGCTAAATAATAAGCAATCCACTCTTTTAAAAGCACGTGGCTGCGGTCAATTTTAGTTTAGACCCCCCCCCCTCTCATAGATATAGCGTGAGAGTAAATAATATGCGGGTACACCGCACACACGTGTCATGAATAGTACAGTGTATCGGGGGGCAACCATTTTAATGAAAACATGATGTTTTCCAATACTTATTCTTGAGTCACACGAGAAAAAGTAAAAAAAAAGTTTAAATGACAACAATTTTTGACAACTGTTAATTATAAATATGTTTATTTCCTACTCGAAGGCGCTGGTTCAAAAATACAATAATATCATTAAATTGACAATAGTTGAGTGAGCACACTATACTATATTTATTTTGTGTGAAAGCGCATTCTCATGTTCAAATGTTAGCTCGACTCATGCCAACTATCTTCGTATTGAGACAGATAGAAAAAATAATGTAGTTAGGAGTGAACGCATTTGCTTGTTTTGCGACAGTAACAACATTGAAAATTGAATACCATTTTTACTTATTTTGTCCTTTTTTTGTTAATTTTAGAATAAAATATATTCCTGCTAACTTTTGTAATCCCCACAACAGTCAGTAAATATTACAAATTAATAGCTACAACAATACACATCTTCTTCAAAGACAGGGAGCCTTTACTTTTCACGCAATGAAATTGCGAAAAGAGCTACAAGAATTGTCAATTGTTTAACAATTGTAATTTTATTTTTAAATATAAATAATGTATGTAAATATTCTGGGTATGTAAATAAATACCATATATATATATACAAGACAAAATAATCATTACATTTTGAGAAGTTTTCTTAAAAGCGAAGTGAATAAATTTAGCTACTGTGAGTAGTAATGTTTTATAAATAAATGTATGCATATACAGTCTTGTACATTTATTAATACTCCACCAGTAGTGGAATACTTGCCTAACACCCCTCTCATTCACCTCTCATGTACGTTGTGTTCATCACATTGACATGGAAGAGTGGTAATTGGTAACTTGTCCGAAATGCCCGCATATGACGTGGCGAGTATTTTAGGACGGCGCCTCGGCGCAAATTATTCATATTGGTACAAGAATTAATGAACGCCAATGCATCACGTGACGATATCTTTTAAAATAGTTTGTATCGTATTGAACAGGCTCAATCTGAACGAGCTCCGACG